CTGAGGAAATATTTCCCTATATATGATGCACCCCTTCTCCCCACTGGAATATTAGGCAAATTGACCCTCCCCCTCCCCCCTGGAAAATCCGATCCCTTTTGTGAGGGTGGTATGGATATTTTTTGGAACCACACAATAGAGCTCTATAAACTAACATAACAGCCATAGAAAGCAGGGGCGTAGCTACAACCCTGGCCAAAACTCTTGGGACATTAACCAAACAGCTGGTGAAAATGACGCATTTTCTCTCCCCCCGTCCCCCCCGGTTCAGTGTTGACGTTACGGCTTCAAATCTTTTTCAACACAATCAACATTGCTGAGGGGAAGGGGGGACAGCAGAAACAGGCTCTTTCAACAACATTTCCAAGCATTTATAACAGGTTAAATACACTTTTAATAAGCAAGGTGTGTTTTCGCGCCTCATTTTCTTAAGTGTCCCAAGACGTTTTGACCAGGGTTGTCTGAAAATGGGTTTGTTATAAAAAAACAGAATTATATCATTTTCCGTGTTTTCATACAGTTCCTTTTTTTCATATACCTGCCTACAAGTCCAAGTGTACACTGTGGATCGCTAAAATTCGGCGCCCTTTAGAAAAATGTACGCTACAAGAAGTACAGGCACATATGTGTAATGGTTTGGGGATCTATTAGTATAGGGAGATAACTGGAAAGTCAGCTTTCGTTTTATTTTCTGACTTGAAACAATGTGGTACAATAAAGGGCAAGACGTTGTTTGTTCGTTATGGCCATATTCAAAAGCAGGGAAAGTCACATGAGCAATCGGCACGTTCTGAATGGTCAAGCGATGACTTCGAAAATTTGAATTCAAATTAAACGATCTTTTTTCGGGAACCCAACAGCTTAGAGAGTTCAGTTCAGTAACGACTTGTTTATCAACTGAATATGGCATCGTTGGATCATTCAAGGCAAAGAATAGTATATCTAATTACGTATAGTCGTGCAGATACCTCCAAGTTTCCAAGTAAAGAGAGTTTCTCGTCAGCTATTGTAGAAGCCTGGCACCATTTTGGCATTAGAGTAATACAGTGGGTTACTTGCATCGAGGCACATAACAACAACAATGAGTGTACGAGTGGAGACGAGATGAATCTATATCATTACCATATGGCCTTAAAATTAGCGAAGCGGGGAGATGGCTTCAAGTACGAAACTACTTGGACGAGAAGTTTGGAGTTCAAGTGAATTTTAGTGACAACCATAATTCGTACTACACAGCCTACCGGTATGTCACCAAGGAAGATCGTGAAGCGTTACACTCCTCTGGACATCCTGACCTTACTGATGCGGTTCCACGGACCGAAGCTGCAATAACTTCTCGGAAAAGAAAGGCAAAAGACAAGGGCAAAGGCCAGGGTAAAAAAAAGGAAGTCAAAGATCGGAGCGTCTCAGTGTTTACGATGTCTGTCAGATAGTTCAACACAAGGGTATAACGTCACGGCTAGAACTCGTTTGCTTGGCTGTTGAACAAAATCGAGAGGGTAAAAGTTCTCTGGCACAGTTTATCGCAAACCGGGGAAATAAAGCAGTAGAGGAAGCTATGGAGTTAGCGAAAGAATTTGCCGAAGCAGAGGCAAAGTGTCTCCGGGCTAAGAAGACCAGGATCGAGTTATTACAAGAACAAACTACAGGCGAATGTGTCCATGGTTGTGGGGGGAGGTGGTTAGAAGCAGCTCAGCAATTATTGCAAAGGCACAATAATACAAAAGAAGATTATTGTACCGCAATTTACACGGCTTTGAGTAAGGGAAGAGGAAAGTACAGAAATATCTTTATTTATGGCGACACAAATTGCGGCAAATCGTTTATCTTAGCTCCGTTGAAGGTCATTTATAAGACCTTTTGTAACCCCGCCACTGGTTCATTTGCTTGGCTAGGAGCAGAGGACGCGGAGGTAATTTTCCTCAATGACTTCCGCTGGCATCCCAAAATTATTGCCTGGGCTGACTTTCTACAGGCTCTGGAAGGCGACACAGTGCACTTGCCGACCCCGAAAAACGTATGTAGCCGAGGTTTGGAACTAAATAAAGACACCCCATTTTTCGCCACCTCTGATGCTCCTTTGGTTTTAATTAAAGCTGGAGCAATTGACAGCACTAACACTCGTATCATGAATGTGAGGTGGAGATTCTACCACTTTTGGAACCAAATACCACCCGAGAACAACAGGAGTTAATTCCATGTGGTCGCTGCTTTGCTAAGTTTATTTTGGACAACGCACGCAACGATGCGTTGCTATAGAGACACTGAGACATTTCTCAGTAATGATCAGTAACATTTCTCACTAGAGAAAAGTGGTTTTGAAGGTATTATGCCAATTTGTTAACGCTATTTTAGCGCTAAGAAAGTCTCTGTTATGCCCTTGTGATAAAACGGGTATTTGTTCTCGCATTCCTGCAGATATGTGAAAATAATTGACATTTCTCACCTTGAAATTAAAAAAAAAAAAACAAAACCTTTAATTAATCTTTTATAGTCGTTTCAGTGAGAAATGTTCAAAAGCGCCGCAAACTGCCTATGTTAACAAGAAACGAGGGGAAAAGAAAATTAAGACATTGACAAGCCACACAAGAGTTTATTTTCAAGAAATATAGCTCTTTGTGAATTACAATTCAAACAAAACGGCCTCGTAGACAAGTGAGAAATAAGGTGAGAACTGTTCAACGTATCTGTCACGCAATGCCCTTTCCTAAAATAATAACCTTTCAGAGCAATTTTACAGTCATCACAGTTTCTTGAAATGGAACAAAGTTGCCCTTGACGTTGAGTAAAAACTTCTTAAGTCTTGGAAAATGTAATAGATAGTGTGGACCGCTGTATCGAGGCACTCCAGTCAATATTTTGTTTTGTGACCTTTGGACGCCAGTACAGCTTCAATTCTGCGAGTCGTACTTAAAATTAGTTTATCGATATCCTCGATAGGAAAATTATCAAAGGCTCTCAAAACCCGAGCGGTGAACTGTTCAAATGACTCCTTTGTAATATTCTGTGTTACAGCTTCTTCATCCAAGTGACATTTGATTTGGTTGAATAAATTTTCTATGCAATGGATATCTGCGCAGCGAGGAGGAAGTTTAAGTAACTCCGCCTCAATTTCCTCTAGGGCCTCCTTCGCACGCTTGCTTGTCTGGCTAGGGTCGTTATCCATGACAAAGAGTCGTCTTGCGTTTCTTTTCGGCCCTGCCCGACCAAACGCTATATTGAAATGGCTCCTAATAAACTGAGCGAAGAAACTTCCGTGCATTTTTTTCGTAGGGTACTGTTAGTATTACCCCTTTTCCGTAAGCAATGGCTACGAGCACGTGCAAACGTCTACCACCAGGCAGGTCCTTGGAACCTTTTGATGTAAACTTTAGGCCTTCTCCTTCTGTCGCCATATCCGTGATTTATTTACATTTGCACCGCTCTGCGGATTGTATTTGTGGACAAAGGACACGGCATCTAAGTAAAAGGCCACTTCATTTGCCCAAAACTGGGGATTTTCCGCGGCTACACGTTTCATTTTGCGAGCGAATCGTACACGCAACTTGCGGTCGTTTTCACTAAGAAGGCCCTTTTTCCTCGCTTGCAAATATGAGTAACCACTTTCATTTAAATAACGAGAAAATGTTCTCCTACTTGCCATTTCAAAATTAAGCCCACTTTGCTCCACTATGCTTTTAACTGTAATGTTTCTACAGTTTCTTGCCCTTAACTCCTTTAGCGCGCGGACAAGTTTTCGCACACTACGTTGACTTACTTTCCGTGGTCTCCCGCCTTTGTTACTTGACTTTGATGCGTCCTTATTTGGCGGAGGATTGTCGCTGCAAATCCTAGCAGCAGAAGACTTGGAAATCCCACACTCTCTTGCTATTTCACGGTACGATGCCTTCCTGTACTTTCGCAAAAACAACGCTAAAGCTGTTTGCACACTTGTTATTTTCTGGTCGCAAACCATCCCGAATTAAGCTATGAAGCAACTTCTGATGACTGTTTAAAAGTACATGACTTCTTATACAGAAAAGGTTAAGATGCAGGCATTCCCAGTCACGAATTTTGTACAGTTTTGACGTGTAAAGGAAACTCCCGACGCATGAAAATGAGTACGTCACAGATTCGTGATAAGCATTCGAGACTGTTCTTCTATGCGCCTCAGGTCACGAAATAAATAACAATTACTTAGTAATACCTGGCAACTTTTTATTTGAACTTACTATACTTACGAATCCACAACTTTTATCTACGTTTCTTAACGTTTAAAAGACTTTTTCCTATAGAAGGGTTTTCAGACAACCCTGGCCAAAACTCTTGGGACATTAACGCAACAGCTAGTGAAAATGACGCATTTTCTCTCCCCCGTCCCCCGGTTCAGTGTTAACGTTACGGCTTCATATCTTTTTCAACACAATCAACATCGCTGAGGGGAAGGGGGTACAGCAGAAACAGGCTCTTTCAACAACATTTCCAAGCATTTATAACAGGTTAAATACACTTTTAATAAGCAAGGTGTGTTTTCGCGCCTCATTTTCTTAAGTGTCCCAAGACGTTTTGACCAGGGTTGTCTGAAAATGGGTTTGTTATAAAAAAACAGAATTATATCATTTTCCGTGTTTTCATACAGTTCCTTTTTTCATATACCTGCCTACAAGTCCAAGTGTACACTGTGGATCGCTAAAATTCGGCGCCCTTTAGAAAAATGTACGCTACAAGAAGTACAGGCACATATGTGTAATGGTTTGGGGATCTATTAGTATAGGGAGATAACTGGAAAGTCAGCTTTCGTTTTATTTTCTGACTTGAAACAATGTGGTACAATAAAGGGCAAGACGTTGTTTGTTCGTTATGGCCATATTCAAAAGCAGGGAAAGTCACATGAGCAATCGGCACGTTCTGAATGGTCAAGCGATGACTTCGAAAATTTGAATTCAAATTAAACGATCTTTTTTCGGGAACCCAACAGCTTAGAGAGTTCAGTTCAGTAACGACTTGTTTATCAACTGAATATGGCATCGTTGGATCATTCAAGGCAAAGAATAGTATATCTAATTACGTATAGTCGTGCAGATACCTCCAAGTTTCCAAGTAAAGAGAGTTTCTCGTCAGCTATTGTAGAAGCCTGGCACCATTTTGGCATTAGAGTAATACAGTGGGTTACTTGCATCGAGGCACATAACAACAACAATGAGTGTACGAGTGGAGACGAGATGAATCTATATCATTACCATATGGCCTTAAAATTAGCGAAGCGGGGAGATGGCTTCAAGTACGAAACTACTTGGACGAGAAGTTTGAGTTCAAGTGAATTTTAGTGACAACCATAATTCGTACTACACAGCCTACCGGTATGTCACCAAGGAAGATCGTGAAGCGTTACACTCCTCTGGACATCCTGACCTTACTGATGCGGTTCCACGGACCGAAGCTGCAATAACTTCTCGGAAAAGAAAGGCAAAAAGACAAGGGCAAAGGCCAGGTAAAAAAAAAAAGGAAGTCAAAGATCGGAGCGTCTCAGTGTTTACGATGTCTGTCAGATAGTTCAACACAAGGGTATAACGTCACGGCTAGAACTCGTTTGCTTGGCTGTTGAACAAAATCGAGAGGGTAAAAGTTCTCTGGCACAGTTTATCGCAAACCGGGGAAATAAAGCAGTAGAGGAAGCTATGGAGTTAGCGAAAGAATTTGCCGAAGCAGAGGCAAAGTGTCTCCGGGCTAAGAAGACCAGGATCGAGTTATTACAAGAACAAACTACAGGCGAATGTGTCCATGGTTGTGGGGGGAGGTGGTTAGAAGCAGCTCAGCAATTATTGCAAAGGCACAATAATACAAAAGAAGATTATTGTACCGCAATTTACACGGCTTTGAGTAAGGGAAGAGGAAAGTACAGAAATATCTTTATTTATGGCGACACAAATTGCGGCAAATCGTTTATCTTAGCTCCGTTGAAGGTCATTTATAAGACCTTTTGTAACCCCGCCACTGGTTCATTTGCTTGGCTAGGAGCAGAGGACGCGGAGGTAATTTTCCTCAATGACTTCCGCTGGCATCCCAAAATTATTGCCTGGGCTGACTTTCTACAGGCTCTGGAAGGCGACACAGTGCACTTGCCGACCCCGAAAAACGTATGTAGCCGAGGTTTGGAACTAAATAAAGACACCCCATTTTTCGCCACCTCTGATGCTCCTTTGGTTTTAATTAAAGCTGGAGCAATTGACAGCACTAACACTCGTATCATGAATGTGAGGTGGAGATTCTACCACTTTTGGAACCAAATACCACCGAGGAACAACAGGAGTTAATTCCATGTGGTCGCTGCTTTGCTAAGTTTATTTTGGACAACGCACGCAACGATGCGTTGCTATAGAGACACTGAGACATTTCTCAGTAATGATCAGTAACATTTCTCACTAGAGAAAAGTGGTTTTTGAAGGTATTATGCCAATTTGTTAACGCTATTTTAGCGCTAAGAAAGTCTCTGTTATGCCCTTGTGATAAAACGGGTATTTGTTCTCGCATTCCTGCAGATATGTGAAAATAATTGACATTTCTCACCTTGAAATTAAAAAAAAACAAAACCTTTAATTAATCTTTTATAGTCGTTTCAGTGAGAAATGTTCAAAAAAGCGCCGCAAACTGCCTATGTTAACAAGAAACGAGGGGAAAAGAAAATTAAGACATTGACAAGCCACACAAGAGTTTATTTTCAAGAAATATAGCTCTTTGTGAATTACAATTCAAACAAAACGGCCTCGTAGACAAGTGAGAAATAAGGTGAGAACTGTTCAACGTATCTGTCACGCAATGCCCTTTCCTAAAATAATAACCTTTCAGAGCAATTTTACAGTCATCACAGTTTCTTGAAATGGAACAAAGTTGCCCTTGACGTTGAGTAAAAACTTCTTAAGTCTTGGAAAATGTAATAGATAGTGTGGACCGCTGTATCGAGGCACTCCAGTCAATATTTTGTTTTGTGACCTTTGGACGCCAGTACAGCTTCAATTCTGCGAGTCGTACTTAAAATTAGTTTATCGATATCCTCGATAGGAAAATTATCAAAGGCTCTCAAAACCCGAGCGGTGAACTGTTCAAATGACTCCTTTGTAATATTCTGTGTTACAGCTTCTTCATCCAAGTGACATTTGATTTGGTTGAATAAATTTTCTATGCAATGGATATCTGCGCAGCGAGGAGGAAGTTTAAGTAACTCCGCCTCAATTTCCTCTAGGGCCTCCTTCGCACGCTTGCTTGTCTGGCTAGGGTCGTTATCCATGACAAAGAGTCGTCTTGCGTTTCTTTTCGGCCCTGCCCGACCAAACGCTATATTGAAATGGCTCCTAATAAACTGAGCGAAGAAACTTCCGTGCATTTTTTCGTAGGGTACTGTTAGTATTACCCCTTTTCCGTAAGCAATGGCTACGAGCACGTGCAAACGTCTACCACCAGGCAGGTCCTTGGAACCTTTTGATGTAAACTTTAGGCCTTCTCCCTTCTGTCGCCATATCCGTGATTTATTTACATTTGCACCGCTCTGCGGATTGTATTTGTGGACAAAGGACACGGCATCTAAGTAAAAGGCCACTTCATTTGCCCAAAACTGGGGATTTTCCGCGGCTACACGTTTCATTTTGCGAGCGAATCGTACACGCAACTTGCGGTCGTTTTCACTAAGAAGGCCCTTTTTCCTCGCTTGCAAATATGAGTAACCACTTTCATTTAAATAACGAGAAAATGTTCTTCTACTTGCCATTTCAAAATTAAGCCCACTTTGCTCCACTATGCTTTTAACTGTAATGTTTCTACAGTTTCTTGCCCTTAACTCCTTTAGCGCGCGGACAAGTTTTCGCACACTACGTTGACTTACTTTCCGTGGTCTCCCGCCTTTGTTACTTGACTTTGATGCGTCCTTATTTGGCGGAGGATTGTCGCTGCAAATCCTAGCAGCAGAAGACTTGGAAATCCCACACTCTCTTGCTATTTCACGGTACGATGCCTTCCTGTACTTTCGCAAAAACAACGCTAAAGCTGTTTGCACACTTGTTATTTTCTGGTCGCAAACCATCCCGAATTAAGCTATGAAGCAACTTCTGATGACTGTTTAAAAGTACATGACTTCTTATACAGAAAAGGTTAAGATGCAGGCATTCCCAGTCACGAATTTTGTACAGTTTTGACGTGTAAGGAAACTCCCCGACGCATGAAAATGAGTACGTCACAGATTCGTGATAAGCATTCGAGACTGTTCTTCTATGCGCCTCAGGTCACGAAATAAATAACAATTACTTAGTAATACCTGGCAACTTTTTATTTGAACTTACTATACTTACGAATCCACAACTTTTATCTACGTTTCTTAACGTTTAAAAGACTTTTTCCTATAGAAGGGTTTTCAGACAACCCTGGCCAAAACTCTTGGGACATTAACCAAACAGCTGGTGAAAATGACGCATTTTTTCTCTCCCCCGTCCCCCGGTTCAGTGTTGACGTTACGGCTTCAAATCTTTTTCAACACAATCAACATTGCTGAGGGGAGGGGGGACAGCAGAAACAGGCTCTTTCAACAACATTTCCAAGCATTTATAACAGGTTAAATATGCGCCTCATTTTCTTACGTGTCCCAAGACATTTTGACCAGGGCTGTCTGAAAATGGGTTTGTTATAAAAAACAGAATTATATCATTTTCCGTGTTTTCACACAGTTCCTTTTTTCATACACCTGCCTACAAGTCCAAGTCTGCACTGTGGATCACTAAAATTCGGCGCCCTTTAGAAAAATGTACGCTACAAGAAGTACAGGCACATATGTGTAATGGTTTGGGGATCTATTAGTATAGGGGAGATAACTGGAAAGTCAGCTTTCGTTTTATTTTCTGACTTGAAACAATGTGGTACAATAAAGGGCAAGACGTTGTTTGTTCGTTATGGCCATATTCAAAAGCAGGGAAAGTCACATGAGCAATCGGCACGTTCTGAATGGTCAAGCGATGACTTCGAAAATTTGAATTCAAATTAAACGATCTTTTTCGGGAACCCAACAGCTTAGAGAGTTCAGTACAGTAACGACTTGTTTATCAACTGAATATGGCATCCTTGGATCATTCAAGGCAAAGAATAGTATATCTAATTGCGTATAGCCGTGCAGATACCACCAAGTTTCCAAGTAAAGAGGGTTTCTCGTCACCTGTTGTAGAAGCCTGGCAGCATTTTGGCATTAGAGTAATACAATGGGTTACTTGCATCGAGGCACATAATAACAATAATGAGTGGAGACGAGATGAATCTATATCACTACCATATGGCCTTAAAACTAGCAAAGCGGGGGAGATGGCTTCAAGTACGAAACTACTTGGACAAGAAGTTTGGCGTTAAAGTGAATTTTAGTGACAACCATAATTTGTACTACACAGCCTACCAGTATGTCACCAAGGAAGATTGTGAAGCGTTACACTCCTCTGGACATCCTGACCTTACTGATGCGGTTCCATGGACTGAAGCTGCAAAAACTTCTATGAAACGAAAGGCGAAAGACAAGGACAAAGGCCAGGGTAAAAAATGATGTCAAAGATTGGAGCGTCTCAGTGTTTACGATGTCTGTCAGATAGTTCAACATAATGGTATAATGTCACGACTGGAACTCATTTGCTTGGCTGTTAAATAAAATCGAGAGGGTAAAAGTTCTCTGGCACAGTTTATCGCAAACCCGGGAAATAAAGCAGTAGAGGAAGCTATCGACTTAGCAAAAGAATTTGCCAAAGCAGAGGCAAAGTGTCTCTGGGCTAAGAAGACCAGGATCGAGTTATTACAAGAACAAACTACAGGCGAGTGTGTCCATGGTTGGGGGGGAGGTGGTTAGAAGCAGCTCAGCAATTATTGCAAAGGCACAATATTACAAAAGAAGATTTTTGTACCATAATTTACACCACTTTGAGTAAGGGAAGAGGAAAGTACAGAAATATCTTTATTTATGGCGACACAAATTGTAGCAAATCGTTTATCTTAGCTCCGTTGAAGGTCATTTATAAGACCTTTTGTAACCCCGCCACTGGTTCATTTGTTTGGCTAGGAGCAGAGGACGCGGAGGTAATTTTCCTCAATGACTTCCGCTGGCATCCCAAAATTATTGCCTGGGCTGACTTTCTACAGGCTCTGGAAGGCGACACAGTGCACTTGCCGACCCCGAAAAAACGTATGTAGCCGAGGTTTGGAACTAAATAAAGACACCCCATTTTTTCGCCACCTCTGATGCTCCTTTGGTTTTAATTAAAGCTGGAGCAATTGACAGCACTAACACTCGTATCATGAATGTGAGGTGGAGATTCTACCACTTTTGGAACCAAATACCACCCGAGGAACAACAGGAGTTAATTCCATGTGGTCGCTGCTTTGCTAAGTTTATTTTGGACAACGCACGCAACGATGCGTTGCTATAGAGACACTGAGACATTTCTCAGTAATGATCAGTAACATTTCTCACTAGAGAAAAGTGGTTTTTGAAGGTATTATGCCAATTTGTTAACGCTATTTTAGCGCTAAGAAAGTCTCTGTTATGCCCTTGTGATAAAACGGGTATTTGTTCTCGCATTCCTGCAGATATGTGAAAATAATTGACATTTCTCACCTTGAAATTAAAAAAAAAAAACAAAACCTTTAATTAATCTTTTATAGTCGTTTCAGTGAGAAATGTTCAAAAGCGCCGCAAACTGCCTATGTTAACAAGAAACGAGGGGAAAAGAAAATTAAGACATTGACAAGCCACACAAGAGTTTATTTTCAAGAAATATAGCTCTTTGTGAATTACAATTCAAACAAAACGGCCTCGTAGACAAGTGAGAAATAAGGTGAGAACTGTTCAACGTATCTGTCACGCAATGCCCTTTCCTAAAATAATAACCTTTCAGAGCAATTTTACAGTCATCACAGTTTCTTGAAATGGAACAAAGTTGCCCTTGACGTTGAGTAAAAACTTCTTAAGTCTTGGAAAATGTAATAGATAGTGTGGACCGCTGTATCGAGGCACTCCAGTCAATATTTTGTTTTGTGACCTTTGGACGCCAGTACAGCTTCAATTCTGCGAGTCGTACTTAAAATTAGTTTATCGATATCCTCGATAGGAAAATTATCAAAGGCTCTCAAAACCCGAGCGGTGAACTGTTCAAATGACTCCTTTGTAATATTCTGTGTTACAGCTTCTTCATCCAAGTGACATTTGATTTGGTTGAATAAATTTTCTATGCAATGGATATCTGCGCAGCGAGGAGGAAGTTTAAGTAACTCCGCCTCAATTTCCTCTAGGGCCTCCTTCGCACGCTTGCTTGTCTGGCTAGGGTCGTTATCCATGACAAAGAGTCGTCTTGCGTTTCTTTTCGGCCCTGCCCGACCAAACGCTATATTGAAATGGCTCCTAATAAACTGAGCGAAGAAACTTCCGTGCATTTTTTCGTAGGGTACTGTTAGTATTACCCCTTTTCCGTAAGCAATGGCTACGAGCACGTGCAAACGTCTACCACCAGGCAGGTCCTTGGAACCTTTTGATGTAAACTTTAGGCCTTCTCCTTCTGTCGCCATATCCGTGATTTATTTACATTTGCACCGCTCTGCGGATTGTATTTGTGGACAAAGGACACGGCATCTAAGTAAAAGGCCACTTCATTAGCCCAAAACTGGGGATTTTCCGCGGCTACACGTTTCATTTTGCGAGCGAATCGTACACGCAACTTGCGGTCGTTTTCACTAAGAAGGCCCTTTTCCCTCGCTTGCAAATATGAGTAACCACTTTCATTTAAATAACGAGAAAATGTTCTCCTACTTGCCATTTCAAAATTAAGCCCACTTTGCTCCACTATGCTTTTAACTGTAATGTTTCTACAGTTTCTTGCCCTTAACTCCTTTAGCGCGCGGACAAGTTTTCGCACACTACGTTGACTTACTTTCCGTGGTCTCCCGCCTTTGTTACTTGACTTTGATGCGTCCTTATTTGGCGGAGGATTGTCGCTGCAAATCCTAGCAGCAGAAGACTTGGAAATCCCACACTCTCTTGCTATTTCACGGTACGATGCCTTCCTGTACTTTCGCAAAAACAACGCTAAAGCTGTTTGCACACTTGTTATTTTCTGGTCGCAAACCATCCCGAATTAAGCTATGAAGCAACTTCTGATGACTGTTTAAAAGTACATGACTTCTTATACAGAAAAGGTTAAGATGCAGGCATTCCCAGTCACGAATTTTGTACAGTTTTGACGTGTAAGGAAACTCCCGACGCATGAAAATGAGTACGTCACAGATTCGTGATAAGCATTCGAGACTGTTCTTCTATGCGCCTCAGGTCACGAAATAAATAACAATTACTTAGTAATACCTGGCAACTTTTTATTTGAACTTACTATACTTACGAATCCACAACTTTTATCTACGTTTCTTAACGTTTAAAAGACTTTTTCCTATAGAAGGGTTTTCAGACAACCCTGGCCAAAACTCTTGGGACATTAACCAAACAGCTGGTGAAAATGACGCATTTTCTCTCCCCCCGTCCCCCCCGGTTCAGTGTTGACGTTACGGCTTCAAATCTTTTTCAACACAATCAACATTGCTGAGGGGAAGGGGGGACAGCAGAAACAGGCTCTTTCAACAACATTTCCAAGCATTTATAACAGGTTAAATACACTTTTAATAAGCAAGGTGTGTTTTCGCGCCTCATTTTCTTAAGTGTCCCAAGACGTTTTGACCAGGGTTGTCTGAAAATGGGTTTGTTATAAAAAAACAGAATTATATCATTTTCCGTGTTTTCATACAGTTCCTTTTTTCATATACCTGCCTACAAGTCCAAGTGTACACTGTGGATCGCTAAAATTCGGCGCCCTTTAGAAAAATGTACGCTACAAGAAGTACAGGCACATATGTGTAATGGTTTGGGGATCTATTAGTATAGGGAGATAACTGGAAAGTCAGCTTTCGTTTTATTTTCTGACTTGAAACAATGTGGTACAATAAAGGGCAAGACGTTGTTTGTTCGTTATGGCCTTATTCAAAAGCAGGAAAGTCACATGAGCAATCGGCACGTTCTGAATGGTCAAGCGATGACTTCGAAAATTTGAATTCAAATTAAACGATCTTTTTTCGGGAACCCAACAGCTTAGAGAGTTCAGTTCAGTAACGACTTGTTTATCAACTGAATATGGCATCGTTGGATCATTCAAGGCAAAGAATAGTATATCTAATTACGTATAGTCGTGCAGATACCTCCAAGTTTCCAAGTAAAGAGAGTTTCTCGTCAGCTATTGTAGAAGCCTGGCACCATTTTGGCATTAGAGTAATACAGTGGGTTACTTGCATCGAGGCACATAACAACAACAATGAGTGTACGAGTGGAGACGAGATGAATCTATATCATTACCATATGGCCTTAAAATTAGCGAAGCGGGGGAGATGGCTTCAAGTACGAAACTACTTGGACGAGAAGTTTGGAGTTCAAGTGAATTTTAGTGACAACCATAATTCGTACTACACAGCCTACCGGTATGTCACCAAGGAAGATCGTGAAGCGTTACACTCCTCTGGACATCCTGACCTTACTGATGCGGTTCCACGGACCGAAGCTGCAATAACTTCTCGGAAAAGAAAGGCAAAAGACAAGGGCAAAGGCCAGGGTAAAAAAAAAAGGAAGTCAAAGATCGGAGCGTCTCAGTGTTTACGATGTCTGTCAGATAGTTCAACACAAGGGTATAACGTCACGGCTAGAACTCGTTTGCTTGGCTGTTGAACAAAATCGAGAGGGTAAAAGTTCTCTGGCACAGTTTATCGCAAACCGGGGAAATAAAGCAGTAGAGGAAGCTATGGAGTTAGCGAAAGAATTTGCCGAAGCAGAGGCAAAGTGTCTCCGGGCTAAGAAGACCAGGATCGAGTTATTACAAGAACAAACTACAGGCGAATGTGTCCATGGTTGTGGGGGGAGGTGGTTAGAAGCAGCTCAGCAATTATTGCAAAGGCACAATAATACAAAAGAAGATTATTGTACCGCAATTTACACGGCTTTGAGTAAGGGAAGAGGAAAGTACAGAAATATCTTTATTTATGGCGACACAAATTGCGGCAAATCGTTTATCTTAGCTCCGTTGAAGGTCATTTATAAGACCTTTTGTAACCCCGCCACTGGTTCATTTGCTTGGCTAGGAGCAGAGGACGCGGAGGTAATTTTCCTCAATGACTTCCGCTGGCATCCCAAAATTATTGCCTGGGCTGACTTTCTACAGGCTCTGGAAGGCGACACAGTGCACTTGCCGACCCCGAAAAACGTATGTAGCCGAGGTTTGGAACTAAATAAAGACACCCCATTTTTCGCCACCTCTGATGCTCCTTTGGTTTTAATTAAAGCTGGAGCAATTGACAGCACTAACACTCGTATCATGAATGTGAGGTGGAGATTCTACCACTTTTGGAACCAAATACCACCCGAGGAACAACAGGAGTTAATTCCATGTGGTCGCTGCTTTGCTAAGTTTATTTTGGACAACGCACGCAACGATGCGTTGCTATAGAGACACTGAGACATTTCTCAGTAATGATCAGTAACATTTCTCACTAGAGAAAAGTGGTTTTTGAAGGTATTATGCCAATTTGTTAACGCTATTTTAGCGCTAAGAAAGTCTCTGTTATGCCCTTGTGATAAAACGGGTATTTGTTCTCGCATTCCTGCAGATATGTGAAAATAATTGACATTTCTCACCTTGAAATTAAAAAAAAAACAAAACCTTTAATTAATCTTTTATAGTCGTTTCAGTGAGAAATGTTCAAAAAGCGCCGCAAACTGCCTATGTTAACAAGAAACGAGGGGAAAAGAAAATTAAGACATTGACAAGCCACACAAGAGTTTATTTTCAAGAAATATAGCTCTTTGTGAATTACAATTCAAACAAAACGGCCTCGTAGACAAGTGAGAAATAAAAGGTGAGAACTGTTCAACGTATCTGTCACGCAATGCCCTTTCCTAAAATAATAACCTTTCAGAGCAATTTTACAGTCATCACAGTTTCTTGAAATGGAACAAAGTTGCCCTTGACGTTGAGTAAAAACTTCTTAAGTCTTGGAAAATGTAATAGATAGTGTGGACCGCTGTATCGAGGCACTCCAGTCAATATTTTGTTTTGTGACCTTTGGACGCCAGTACAGCTTCAATTCTGCGAGTCGTACTTAAAATGAGTTTATCGATATCCTCGATAGGAAAATTATCAAAGGCTCTCAAAACCCGAGCGGTGAACTGTTCAAATGACTCCTTTGTAATATTCTGTGTTACAGCTTCTTCATCCAAGTGACATTTGATTTGGTTGAATAAATTTTCTATGCAATGGATATCTGCGCAGCGAGGAGGAAGTTTAAGTAACTCCGCCTCAATTTCCTCTAGGGCCTCCTTCGCACGCTTGCTTGTCTGGCTAGGGTCGTTATCCATGACAAAGAGTCGTCTTGCGTTTCTTTTCGGCCCTGCCCGACCAAACGCTATATTGAAATGGCTCCTAATAAACTGAGCGAAGAAACTTCCGTGCATTTTTTCGTAGGGTACTGTTAGTATTACCCCTTTTCCGTAAGCAACGGCTACGAGCACGTGCAAACGTCTACCACCAGGCAGGTCCTTGGAACCTTTTGATGTAAACTTTAGGCCTTCTCCCTTCTGTCGCCATATCCGTGATTTATTTACATTTGCACCGCTCTGCGGATTGTATTTGTGGACAAAGGACACGGCATCTAAGTAAAAGGCCACTTCATTTGCCCAAAACTGGGGATTTTCCGCGGCTACACGTTTCATTTTGCGAGCGAATCGTACACGCAACTTGCGGTCGTTTTCACTAAGAAGGCCCTTTTTCCTCGCTTGCAAATATGAGTAACCACTTTCATTTAAATAACGAGAAAATGTTCTCCTACTTGCCATTTCAAAATTAAGCCCACTTTGCTCCACTATGCTTTTAACTGTAATGTTTCTACAGTTTCTTGCCCTTAACTCCTTTAGCGCGCGGACAAGTTTTCGCACACTACGTTGACTTACTTTCCGTGGTCTCCCGCCTTTGTTACTTGACTTTGATGCGTCCTTATTTGGCGGAGGATTGTCGCTGCAAATCCTAGCAGCAGAAGACTTGGAAATCCCACACTCTCTTGCTATTTCACGGTACGATGCCTTCCTGTACTTTCGCAAAAACAACGCTAAAGCTGTTTGCACACTTGTTATTTTCTGGTCGCAAACCATCCCGAATTAAGCTATGAAGCAACTTCTGATGACTGTTTAAAAGTACATGACTTCTTATACAGAAAAGGTTAAGATGCAGGCATTCCCAGTCACGAATTTTGTACAGTTTTGACGTGTAAGGAAACTCCCGACGCATGAAAATGAGTACGTCACAGATTCGTGATAAGCATTCGAGACTGTTCTTCTATGCGCCTCAGGTCACGAAATAAATAACAATTACTTAGTAATACCTGGCAACTTTTTATTTGAACTTACTATACTTACGAATCCACAACTTTTATCTACGTTTCTTAACGTTTAAAAGACTTTTTCCTATAGAAGGGGTTTTCAGACATGTCTGAAAATGGGTTTGTTATAAAAAAACAGAATTATATCATTTTCCGTGTTTTCATACAGTTCCTTTTTTCATATACCTGCCTACAAGTCCAAGTGTACACTGTGGATCGCTAAAATTCGGCGCCCTTTAGAAAAATGTACGCTACAAGAAGTACAGGCACATATGTGTAATGGTTTGGGGATCTATTAGTATAGGGAGATAACTGGAAAGTCAGCTTTCGTTTTATTTTCTGACTTGAAACAATGTGGTACAATAAAGGGCAAGACGTTGTTTGTTCGTTATGGCCATATTCAAAAGCAGGGAAAGTCACATGAGCAATCGGCACGTTCTGAATGGTCAAGCGATGACTTCGAAAATTTGAATTCAAATTAAACGATCTTTTTTCGGGAACCCAACAGCTTAGAGAGTTCAGTTCAGTAACGACTTGTTTATCAACTGAATATGGCATCGTTGGATCATTCAAGGCAAAGAATAGTATATCTAATTACGTATAGTCGTGCAGATACCTCCAAGTTTCCAAGTAAAGAGAGTTTCTCGTCAGCTATTGTAGAAGCCTGGCACCATTTTGGCATTAGAGTAATACAGTGGGTTACTTGCATCGAGGCACATAACAACAACAATGAGTGTACGAGTGGAGACGAGATGAATCTATATCATTACCATATGGCCTTAAAATTAGCGAAGCGGGGGAGATGGCTTCAAGTACGAAACTACTTGGACGAGAAGTTTGGAGTTCAAGTGAATTTTAGTGACAACCATAATTCGTACTACACAGCCTACCGGTATGTCACCAAGGAAGATCGTGAAGCGTTACACTCCTCTGGACATCCTGACCTTACTGATGCGGTTCCACGGACCGAAGCTGCAATAACTTCTCGGAAAAGAAAGGCAAAAGACAAGGGCAAAGGCCAGGGTAAAAAAAGGAAGTCAAAGATCGGAGCGTCTCAGTGTTTACGATGTCTGTCAGATAGTTCAACACAAGGGTATAACGTCACGGCTAGAACTCGTTTGCTTGGCTGTTGAACAAAATCGAGAGGGTAAAAGTTCTCTGGCACAGTTTATCGCAAACCGGGGAAATAAAGCAGTAGAGGAAGCTATGGAGTTAGCGAAAGAATTTGCCGAAGCAGAGGCAAAGTGTCTCCGGGCTAAGAAGACCAGGATCGAGTTATTACAAGAACAAACTACAGGCGAATGTGTCCATGGTTGTGGGGGGAGGTGGTTAGAAGCAGCTCAGCAATTATTGCAAAGGCACAATAATACAAAAGAAGATTATTGTACCGCAATTTACACGGCTTTGAGTAAGGGAAGAGGAAAGTACAGAAATATCTTTATTTATGGCGACACAAATTGCGGCAAATCGTTTATCTTAGCTCCGTTGAAGGTCATTTATAAGACCTTTTGTAACCCCGCCACTGGTTCATTTGCTTGGCTAGGAGCAGAGGACGCGGAGGTAATTTTCCTCAATGACTTCCGCTGGCATCCCAAAATTATTGCCTGGGCTGACTTTCTACAGGCTCTGGAAGGCGACACAGTGCACTTGCCGACCCCTGAAAAAACGTATGTAGCCGAGGTTTGGAACTAAATAAAGACACCCCATTTTTCGCCACCTCTGATGCTCCTTTGGTTTTAATTAAAGCTGGAGCAATTGACAGCACTAACACTCGTATCATGAATGTGAGGTGGAGATTCTACCACTTTTGGAACCAAATACCACCCGAGGAACAACAGGAGTTAATTCCATGTGGTCGCTGCTTTGCTAAGTTTATTTTGGACAACGCACGCAACGATGCGTTGCTATAGAGACACTGAGACATTTCTCAGTAATGATCAGTAACATTTCTCACTAGAGAAAAGTGGTTTTGAAGGTATTATGCCAATTTGTTAACGCTATTTTAGCGCTAAGAAAGTCTCTGTTATGCCCTTGTGATAAAACGGGTATTTGTTCTCGCATTCCTGCAGATATGTGAAAATAATTGACATTTCTCACCTTGAAATTAAAAAAAAAAACAAAACCTTTAATTAATCTTTTATAGTCGTTTCAGTGAGAAATGTTCAAAAAGCGCCGCAAACTGCCTATGTTAACAAGAAACGAGGGAAAAGAAAATTAAGACATTGACAAGCCACACAAGAGTTTATTTTCAAGAAATATAGCTCTTTGTGAATTACAATTCAAACAAAACGGCCTCGTAGACAAGTGAGAAATAAGGTGAGAACTGTTCAACGTATCTGTCACGCAATGCCCTTTCCTAAAATAATAACCTTTCAGAGCAATTTTACAGTCATCACAGTTTCTTGAAATGGAACAAAGTTGCCCTTGACGTTGAGTAAAAACTTCTTAAGTCTTGGAAAATGTAATAGATAGTGTGGACCGCTGTATCGAGGCACTCCAGTCAATATTTTGTTTTGTGACCTTTGGACGCCAGTACAGCTTCAATTCTGCGAGTCGTACTTAAAATTAGTTTATCGATATCCTCGATAGGAAAATTATCAAAGGCTCTCAAAACCCGAGCGGTGAACTGTTCAAATGACTCCTTTGTAATATTCTGTGTTACAGCTTCTTCATCCAAGTGACATTTGATTTGGTTGAATAAATTTTCTATGCAATGGATATCTGCGCAGCGAGGAGGAAGTTTAAGTAACTCCGCCTCAATTTCCTCTAGGGCCTCCTTCGCACGCTTGCTTGTCTGGCTAGGGTCGTTATCCATGACAAAGAGTCGTCTTGCGTTTCTTTTCGGCCCTGCCCGACCAAACGCTATATTGAAATGGCTCCTAATAAACTGAGGGAAGAAACTTCCGTGCATTTTTTTCGTAGGGTACTGTTAGTATTACCCCTTTTCCGTAAGCAATGGCTACGAGCACGTGCAAACGTCTACCACCAGGCAGGTCCTTGGAACCTTTTGATGTAAACTTTAGGCCTTCTCCCTTCTGTCGCCATATCCGTGATTTATTTACATTTGCACCGCTCTGCGGATTGTATTTGTGGACAAAGGACACGGCATCTAAGTAAAAGGCCACTTCATTTGCCCAAAACTGGGGATTTTCCGCGGCTACACGTTTCATTTTGCGAGCGAATCGTACACGCAACTTGCGGTCGTTTTCACTAAGAAGGCCCTTTTTCCTCGCTTGCAAATATGAGTAACCACTTTCATTTAAATAACGAGAAAATGTTCTCCTACTTGCCATTTCAAAATTAAGCCCACTTTGCTCCACTATGCTTTTAACTGTAATGTTTCTACAGTTTCTTGCCCCTTAACTCCTTTAGCGCGCGGACAAGTTTTCGCACACTACGTTGACTTACTTTCCGTGGTCTCCCGCCTTTGTTACTTGACTTTGATGCGTCCTTATTTGGCGGAGGATTGTCGCTGCAAATCCTAGCAGCAGAAGACTTGGAAATCCCACACTCTCTTGCTATTTCACGGTACGATGCCTTCCTGTACTTTCGCAAAAACAACGCTAAAGCTGTTTGCACACTTGTTATTTTCTGGTCGCAAACCATCCCGAATTAAGCTATGAAGCAACTTCTGATGACTGTTTAAAAGTACATGACTTCTTATACAGAAAAGGTTAAGATGCAGGCATTCCCAGTCACGAATTTTGTACAGTTTTGACGTGTAAGGAAACTCCCGACGCATGAAAATGAGTACGTCACAGATTCGTGATAAGCATTCGAGACTGTTCTTCTATGCGCCTCAGGTCACGAAATAAATAACAATTACTTAGTAATACCTGGCAACTTTTTATTTGAACTTACTATACTTACGAATCCACAACTTTTATCTACGTTTCTTAACGTTTAAAAAAGACTTTTTCCTATAGAAGGGGTTTTCAGACAACCCTGGCCAAAACTCTTGGGACATTAACCAAACAGCTGGTGAAAATGACGCATTTTCTCTCCCCCGTCCCCCGGTTCAGTGTTGACGTTACGGCTTCAAATCTTTTTCAACACAATCAACATTGCTGAGGGGAAGGGGGGGACAGCAGAAACAGGCTCTTTCAACAACATTTCCAAGCATTTATAACAGGTTAAATACACTTTTAATAAGCAAGGTGTGTTTTCGCGCCTCATTTTCTTAAGTGTCCCAAGACGTTTTGACCAGGGTTGTCTGAAAATGGGTTTGTTATAAAAAACAGAATTATATCATTTTCCGTGTTTTCATACAGTTCTTTTTTTTCATATACCTGCCTACAAGTCCAAGTGTACACTGTGGATCGCTAAAATTCGGCGCCCTTTAGAAAAATGTACGCTACAAGAAGTACAGGCACATATGTGTAATGGTTTGGGGATCTATTAGTATAGGGGAGATAACTGGAAAGTCAGCTTTCGTTTTATTTTCTGACTTGAAACAATGTGGTACAATAAAGGGCAAGACGTTGTTTGTTCGTTATGGCCATATTCAAAAGCAGGGAAAGTCACATGAGCAATCGGCACGTTCTGAATGGTCAAGCGATGACTTCGAAAATTTGAATTCAAATTAAACGATCTTTTTCGGGAACCCAACAGCTTAGAGAGTTCAGTTCAGTAACGACTTGTTTATCAACTGAATATGGCATCGTTGGATCATTCAAGGCAAAGAATAGTATATCTAATTACGTATAGTCGTGCAGATACCTCCAAGTTTCCAAGTAAAGAGAGTTTCTCGTCAGCTATTGTAGAAGCCTGGCACCATTTTGGCATTAGAGTAATACAGTGGGTTACTTGCATCGAGGCACATAACAACAACAATGAGTGTACGAGTGGAGACGAGATGAATCTATATCATTACCATATGGCCTTAAAATTAGCGAAGCGGGGGGGAGATGGCTTCAAGTACGAAACTACTTGGACGAGAAGTTTGGAGTTCAAGTGAATTTTAGTGACAACCATAATTCGTACTACACAGCCTACCGGTATGTCACCAAGGAAGATCGTGAAGCGTTACACTCCTCTGGACATCCTGACCTTACTGATGCGGTTCCACGGACCGAAGCTGCAATAACTTCTCGGAAAAGAAAGGCAAAAGACAAGGGCAAAGGCCAGGGTAAAAAAAAGGAAGTCAAAGATCGGAGCGTCTCAGTGTTTACGATGTCTGTCAGATAGTTCAACACAAGGGTATAACGTCACGGCTAGAACTCGTTTGCTTGGCTGTTGAACAAAATCGAGAGGGTAAAAGTTCTCTGGCACAGTTTATCGCAAACCGGGGAAATAAAGCAGTAGAGGAAGCTATGGAGTTAGCGAAAGAATTTGCCGAAGCAGAGGCAAAGTGTCTCCGGGCTAAGAAGACCAGGATCGAGTTATTACAAGAACAAACTACAGGCGAATGTGTCCATGGTTGTGGGGGGAGGTGGTTAGAAGCAGCTCAGCAATTATTGCAAAGGCACAATAATACAAAAGAAGATTATTGTACCGCAATTTACACGGCTTTGAGTAAGGGAAGAGGAAAGTACAGAAATATCTTTATTTATGGCGACACAAATTGCGGCAAATCGTTTATCTTAGCTCCGTTGAAGGTCATTTATAAGACCTTTTGTAACCCCGCCACTGGTTCATTTGCTTGGCTAGGAGCAGAGGACGCGGAGGTAATTTTCCTCAATGACTTCCGCTGGCATCCCAAAATTATTGCCTGGGCTGACTTTCTACAGGCTCTGGAAGGCGACACAGTGCACTTGCCGACCCCGAAAAAAACGTATGTAGCCGAGGTTTTGAACTAAATAAAGACACCCCATTTTTCGCCACCTCTGATGCTCCTTTGGTTTTAATTAAAGCTGGAGCAATTGACAGCACTAACACTCGTATCATGAATGTGAGGTGGAGATTCTACCACTTTTGGAACCAAATACCACCCGAGGAACAACAGGAGTTAATTCCATGTGGTCGCTGCTTTGCTAAGTTTATTTTGGACAACGCACGCAACGGTGCGTTGCTATAGAGACACTGAGACATTTCTCAGTAATGATCAGTAACATTTCTCACTAGAGAAAAGTGGTTTTTGAAGGTATTATGCCAATTTGTTAACGCTATTTTAGCGCCAAGAAAGTCTCTGTTATGCCCTTGTGATAAAACGGGTATTTGTTCTCGCATTCCTGCAGATATGTGAAAATAATTGACATTTCTCACCTTGAAATTAAAAAAAAAACAAAACCTTTAATTAATCTTTTATAGTCGTTTCAGTGAGAAATGTTCAAAAAGCGCCGCAAACTGCCTATGTTAACAAGAAACGAGGGGAAAAGAAAATTAAGACATTGACAAGCCACACAAGAGTTTATTTTCAAGAAATATAGCTCTTTGTGAATTACAATTCAAACAAAACGGCCTCGTAGACAAGTGAGAAATAAGGTGAGAACTGTTCAACGTATCTGTCACGCAATGCCCTTTCCTAAAATAATAACCTTTCAGAGCAATTTTACAGTCATCACAGTTTCTTGAAATGGAACAAAGTTGCCCTTGACGTTGAGTAAAAACTTCTTAAGTCTTGGAAAATGTAATAGATAGTGTGGACCGCTGTATCGAGGCACTCCAGTCAATATTTTGTTTTGTGACCTTTGGACGCCAGTACAGCTTCAATTCTGCGAGTCGTACTTAAAATTAGTTTATCGATATCCTCGATAGGAAAATTATCAAAGGCTCTCAAAACCCGAGCGGTGAACTGTTCAAATGACTCCTTTGTAATATTCTGTGTTACAGCTTCTTCATCCAAGTGACATTTGATTTGGTTGAATAAATTTTCTATGCAATGGATATCTGCGCAGCGAGGAGGAAGTTTAAGTAACTCCGCCTCAATTTCCTCTAGGGCCTCCTTCGCACGCTTGCTTGTCTGGCTAGGGTCGTTATCCATGACAAAGAGTCGTCTTGCGTTTCTTTTCGGCCCTGCCCGACCAAACGCTATATTGAAATGGCTCCTAATAAACTGAGCGAAGAAACTTCCGTGCATTTTTTCGTAGGGTACTGTTAGTATTACCCCTTTTCCGTAAGCAATGGCTACGAGCACGTGCAAACGTCTACCACCAGGCAGGTCCTTGGAACCTTTTGATGTAAACTTTAGGCCTTTTCCCTTCTGTCGCCATATCCGTGATTTATTTACATTTGCACCGCTCTGCGGATTGTATTTGTGGACAAAGGACACGGCATCTAAGTAAAAGGCCACTTCATTTGCCCAAAACTGGGGATTTTCCGCGGCTACACGTTTCATTTTGCGAGCGAATCGTACACGCAACTTGCGGTCGTTTTCACTAAGAAGGCCCTTTTTCCTCGCTTGCAAATATGAGTAACCACTTTCATTTAAATAACGAGAAAATGTTCTCCTACTTGCCATTTCAAAATTAAGCCCACTTTGCTCCACTATGCTTTTAACTGTAATGTTTCTACAGTTTCTTGCCCTTAACTCCTTTAGCGCGCGGACAAGTTTTCGCACACTACGTTGACTTACTTTCCGTGGTCTCCCGCCTTTGTTACTTGACTTTGATGCGTCCTTATTTGGCGGAGGATTGTCGCTGCAAATCCTAGCAGCAGAAGACTTGGAAATCCCACACTCTCTTGCTATTTCACGGTACGATGCCTTCCTGTACTTTCGCAAAAACAACGCTAAAGCTGTTTGCACACTTGTTATTTTCTGGTCGCAAACCATCCCGAATTAAGCTATGAAGCAACTTCTGATGACTGTTTAAAAGTACATGACTTCTTATACAGAAAAGGTTAAGATGCAGGCATTCCCAGTCACGAATTTTGTACAGTTTTGACGTGTAAGGAAACTCCCGACGCATGAAAATGAGTACGTCACAGATTCGTGATAAGCATTCGAGACTGTTCTTCTATGCGCCTCAGGTCACGAAATAAATAACAATTACTTAGTAATACCTGGCAACTTTTTATTTGAACTTACTATACTTACGAATCCACAACTTTTATCTACGTTTCTTAACGTTTAAAAGACTTTTTCCTATAGAAGGGGTTTTCAGACAACCCTGGCCAAAACTCTTGGGACATTAACCAAACAGCTGGTGAAAATGACGCATTTTCTCTCCCCCCGTCCCCCCCGGTTCAGTGTTGACGTTACGGCTTCAAATCTTTTTCAACACAATCAACATTGCTGAGGGGAAGGGGGGACAGCAGAAACAGGCTCTTTCAACAACATTTCCAAGCATTTATAACAGGTTAAATACACTTTTAATAAGCAAGGTGTGTTTTCGCGCCTCATTTTCTTAAGTGTCCCAAGACGTTTTGACCAGGGTTGTCTGAAAATGGGTTTGTTATAAAAAACAGAATTATATCATTTTCCGTGTTTTCATACAGTTCCTTTTTTTTTCATATACCTGCCTACAAGTCCAAGTGTACACTGTGGATCGCTAAAATTCGGCGCCCTTTAGAAAAATGTACGCTACAAGAAGTACAGGCACATATGTGTAATGGTTTGGGGATCTATTAGTATAGGGAGATAACTGGAAAGTCAGCTTTCGTTTTATTTTCTGACTTGAAAAATGTGGTACAATAAAGGGCAAGACGTTGTTTGTTCGTTATGGCCATATTCAAAAGCAGGGAAAGTCACATGAGCAATCGGCACGTTCTGAATGGTCAAGCGATGACTTCGAAAATTTGAATTCAAATTAAACGATCTTTTTCGGGAACCCAACAGCTTAGAGAGTTCAGTTCAGTAACGACTTGTTTATCAACTGAATATGGCATCGTTGGATCATTCAAGGCAAAGAATAGTATATCTAATTACGTATAGTCGTGCAGATACCTCCAAGTTTCCAAGTAAAGAGAGTTTCTCGTCAGCTATTGTAGAAGCCTGGCACCATTTTGGCATTAGAGTAATACAGTGGGTTACTTGCATCGAGGCACATAACAACAACAATGAGTGTACGAGTGGAGACGAGATGAATCTATATCATTACCATATGGCCTTAAAATTAGCGAAGCGGGGAGATGGCTTCAAGTACGAAACTACTTGGACGAGAAGTTTGGAGTTCAAGTGAATTTTAGTGACAACCATAATTCGTACTACACAGCCTACCGGTATGTCACCAAGGAAGATCGTGAAGCGTTACACTCCTCTGGACATCCTGACCTTACTGATGCGGTTCCACGGACCGAAGCTGCAATAACTTCTCGGAAAAGAAAGGCAAAAGACAAGGGCAAAGGCCAGGGTAAAAAAAGGAAGTCAAAGATCGGAGCGTCTCAGTGTTTACGATGTCTGTCAGATAGTTCAACACAAGGGTATAACGTCACGGCTAGAACTCGTTTGCTTGGCTGTTGAACAAAATCGAGAGGGTAAAAGTTCTCTGGCACAGTTTATCGCAAACCGGGGAAATAAAGCAGTAGAGGAAGCTATGGAGTTAGCGAAAGAATTTGCCGAAGCAGAGGCAAAGTGTCTCCGGGCTAAGAAGACCAGGATCGAGTTATTACAAGAACAAACTACAGGCGAATGTGTCCATGGTTGTGGGGGGAGGTGGTTAGAAGCAGCTCAGCAATTATTGCAAAGGCACAATAATACAAAAGAAGATTATTGTACCGCAATTTACACGGCTTTGAGTAAGGGAAGAGGAAAGTACAGAAATATCTTTATTTATGGCGACACAAATTGCGGCAAATCGTTTATCTTAGCTCCGTTGAAGGTCATTTATAAGACCTTTTGTAACCCCGCCACTGGTTCATTTGCTTGGCTAGGAGCAGAGGACGCGGAGGTAATTTTCCTCAATGACTTCCGCTGGCATCCCAAAATTATTGCCTGGGCTGACTTTCTACAGGCTCTGGAAGGCGACACAGTGCACTTGCCGACCCCGAAAAAACGTATGTAGCCGAGGTTTGGAACTAAATAAAGACACCCCATTTTTCGCCACCTCTGATGCTCCTTTGGTTTTAATTAAAGCTGGAGCAATTGACAGCACTAACACTCGTATCATGAATGTGAGGTGGAGATTCTACCACTTTTGGAACCAAATACCACCCGAGGAACAACAGGAGTTAATTCCATGTGGTCGCTGCTTTGCTAAGTTTATTTTGGACAACGCACGCAACGATGCGTTGCTATAGAGACACTGAGACATTTCTCAGTAATGATCAGTAACATTTCTCACTAGAGAAAAGTGGTTTTTGAAGGTATTATGCCAATTTGTTAACGCTATTTTAGCGCTAAGAAAGTCTCTGTTATGCCCTTGTGATAAAACGGGTATTTGTTCTCGCATTCCTGCAGATATGTGAAAATAATTGACATTTCTCACCTTGAAATTAAAAAAAAAACAAAACCTTTAATTAATCTTTTATAGTCGTTTCAGTGAGAAATGTTCAAAAAGCGCCGCAAACTGCCTATGTTAACAAGAAACGAGGGGAAAAGAAAATTAAGACATTGACAAGCCACACAAGAGTTTATTTTCAAGAAATATAGCTCTTTGTGAATTACAATTCAAACAAAACGGCCTCGTAGACAAGTGAGAAATAAGGTGAGAACTGTTCAACGTATCTGTCACGCAATGCCCTTTCCTAAAATAATAACCTTTCAGAGCAATTTTACAGTCATCACAGTTTCTTGAAATGGAACAAAGTTGCCCTTGACGTTGAGTAAAAACTTCTTAAGTCTTGGAAAATGTAATAGATAGTGTGGACCGCTGTATCGAGGCACTCCAGTCAATATTTTGTTTTGTGACCTTTGGACGCCAGCACAGCTTCAATTCTGCGAGTCGTACTTAAAATTAGTTTATCGATATCCTCGATAGGAAAATTATCAAAGGCTCTCAAAACCCGAGCGGTGAACTGTTCAAATGACTCCTTTGTAATATTCTGTGTTACAGCTTCTTCATCCAAGTGACATTTGATTTGGTTGAATAAATTTTCTATGCAATGGATATCTGCGCAGCGAGGAGGAAGTTTAAGTAACTCCGCCTCAATTTCCTCTAGGGCCTCCTTCGCACGCTTGCTTGTCTGGCTAGGGTCGTTATCCATGACAAAGAGTCGTCTTGCGTTTCTTTTCGGCCCTGCCCGACCAAACGCTATATTGAAATGGCTCCTAATAAACTGAGCGAAGAAACTTCCGTGCATTTTTTCGTAGGGTACTGTTAGTATTACCCCTTTTCCGTAAGCAATGGCTACGAGCACGTGCAAACGTCTACCACCAGGCAGGTCCTTGGAACCTTTTGATGTAAACTTTAGGCCTTCTCCCTTCTGTCGCCATATCCGTGATTTATTTACATTTGCACCGCTCTGCGGATTGTATTTGTGGACAAAGGACACGGCATCTAAGTAAAAGGCCACTTCATTTGCCCAAAACTGGGGATTTTCCGCGGCTACACGTTTCATTTTGCGAGCGAATCGTACACGCAACTTGCGGTCGTTTTCACTAAGAAGGCCCTTTTTCCTCGCTTGCAAATATGAGTAACCACTTTCATTTAAATAACGAGAAAATGTTCTCCTACTTGCCATTTCAAAATTAAGCCCACTTTGCTCCACTATGCTTTTAACTGTAATGTTTCTACAGTTTCTTGCCCTTAACTCCTTTAGCGCGCGGACAAGTTTTCGCACACTACGTTGACTTACTTTCCGTGGTCTCCCGCCTTTGTTACTTGACTTTGATGCGTCCTTATTTGGCGGAGGATTGTCGCTGCAAATCCTAGCAGCAGAAGACTTGGAAATCCCACACTCTCTTGCTATTTCACGGTACGATGCCTTCCTGTACTTTCGCAAAAACAACGCTAAAGCTGTTTGCACACTTGTTATTTTCTGGTCGCAAACCATCCCGAATTAAGCTATGAAGCAACTTCTGATGACTGTTTAAAAGTACATGACTTCTTATACAGAAAAGGTTAAGATGCAGGCATTCCCAGTCACTAATTTTGTACAGTTTTGACGTGTAAGGAAACTCCCGACGCATGAAAATGAGTACGTCACAGATTCGTGATAAGCATTCGAGACTGTTCTTCTATGCGCCTCAGGTCACGAAATAAATAACAATTACTTAGTAATACCTGGCAACTTTTTATTTGAACTTACTATACTTACGAATCCACAACTTTTATCTACGTTTCTTAACGTTTAAAAGACTTTTTCCTATAGAAGGGGTTTTCAGACAACCCTGGCCAAAACTCTTGGGACATTAACCAAACAGCTGGTGAAAATGACGCATTTTCTCTCCCCCCGTCCCCCCCGGTTCAGTGTTGACGTTACGGCTTCAAATCTTTTTCAACACAATCAACATTGCTGAGGGGAAGGGGGGACAGCAGAAACAGGCTCTTTCAACAACATTTCCAAGCATTTATAACAGGTTAAATACACTTTTAATAAGCAAGGTGTGTTTTCGCGCCTCATTTTCTTAAGTGTCCCAAGACGTTTTGACCAGGGTTGTCTGAAAATGGGTTTGTTATAAAAAAACAGAATTATATCATTTTCCGTGTTTTCATACAGTTCCTTTTTTCATATACCTGCCTACAAGTCCAAGTGTACACTGTGGATCGCTAAAATTCGGCGCCCTTTAGAAAAATGTACGCTACAAGAAGTACAGGCACATATGTGTAATGGTTTGGGGATCTATTAGTATAGGGAGATAACTGGAAAGTCAGCTTTCGTTTTATTTTCTGACTTGAAAAAATGTGGTACAATAAAGGGCAAGACGTTGTTTGTTCGTTATGGCCATATTCAAAAGCAGGGAAAGTCACATGAGCAATCGGCACGTTCTGAATGGTCAAGCGATGACTTCGAAAATTTGAATTCAAATTAAACGATCTTTTTTCGGGAACCCAACAGCTTAGAGAGTTCAGTTCAGTAACGACTTGTTTATCAACTGAATATGGCATCGTTGGATCATTCAAGGCAAAGAATAGTATATCTAATTACGTATAGTCGTGCAGATACCTCCAAGTTTCCAAGTAAAGAGAGTTTCTCGTCAGCTATTGTAGAAGCCTGGCACCATTTTGGCATTAGAGTAATACAGTGGGTTACTTGCATCGAGGCACATAACAACAACAATGAGTGTACGAGTGGAGACGAGATGAATCTATATCATTACCATATGGCCTTAAAATTAGCGAAGCGGGGGAGATGGCTTCAAGTACGAAACTACTTGGACGAGAAGTTTGGAGTTCAAGTGAATTTTAGTGACAACCATAATTCGTACTACACAGCCTACCGGTATGTCACCAAGGAAGATCGTGAAGCGTTACACTCCTCTGGACATCCTGACCTTACTGATGCGGTTCCACGGACCGAAGCTGCAATAACTTCTCGGAAAAGAAAGGCAAAAGACAAGGGCAAAGGCCAGGGTAAGAAAAGGAAGTCAAAGATCGGAGCGTCTCAGTGTTTACGATGTCTGTCAGATAGTTCAACACAAGGGTATAACGTCACGGCTAGAACTCGTTTGCTTGGCTGTTGAACAAAATCGAGAGGGTAAAAGTTCTCTGGCACAGTTTATCGCAAACCGGGGAAATAAAGCAGTAGAGGAAGCTATGGAGTTAGCGAAAGAATTTGCCGAAGCAGAGGCAAAGTGTCTCCGGGCTAAGAAGACCAGGATCGAGTTATTACAAGAACAAACTACAGGCGAATGTGTCCATGGTTGTGGGGGGAGGTGGTTAGAAGCAGCTCAGCAATTATTGCAAAGGCACAATAATACAAAAGAAGATTATTGTACCGCAATTTACACGGCTTTGAGTAAGGGAAGAGGAAAGTACAGAAATATCTTTATTTATGGCGACACAAATTGCGGCAAATCGTTTATCTTAGCTCCGTTGAAGGTCATTTATAAGACCTTTTGTAACCCCGCCACTGGTTCATTTGCTTGGCTAGGAGCAGAGGACGCGGAGGTAATTTTCCTCAATGACTTCCGCTGGCATCCCAAAATTATTGCCTGGGCTGACTTTCTACAGGCTCTGGAAGGCGACACAGTGCACTTGCCGACCCCGAAAAACGTATGTAGCCGAGGTTTGGAACTAATTAAAGACACCCCATTTTTCGCCACCTCTGATGCTCCTTTGGTTTTAATTAAAGCTGGAGCAATTGACAGCACTAACACTCGTATCATGAATGTGAGGTGGAGATTCTACCACTTTTGGAACCAAATACCACCCGAGGAACAACAGGAGTTAATTCCATGTGGTCGCTGCTTTGCTAAGTTTATTTTGGACAACGCACGCAACGATGCGTTGCTATAGAGACACTGAGACATTTCTCAGTAATGATCAGTAACATTTCTCACTAGAGAAAAGTGGTTTTTGAAGGTATTATGCCAATTTGTTAACGCTATTTTAGCGCTAAGAAAGTCTCTGTTATGCCCTTGTGATAAAACGGGTATTTGTTCTCGCATTCCTGCAGATATGTGAAAATAATTGACATTTCTCACCTTGAAATTAAAAAAAAAACAAAACCTTTAATTAATCTTTTATAGTCGTTTCAGTGAGAAATGTTCAAAAAGCGCCGCAAACTGCCTATGTTAACAAGAAACGAGGGGAAAAGAAAATTAAGACATTGACAAGCCACACAAGAGTTTATTTTCAAGAAATATAGCTCTTTGTGAATTACAATTCAAACAAAACGGCCTCGTAGACAAGTGAGAAATAAGGTGAGAACTGTTCAACGTATCTGTCACGCAATGCCCTTTCCTAAAATAATAACCTTTCAGAGCAATTTTACAGTCATCACAGTTTCTTGAAATGGAACAAAGTTGCCCTTGACGTTGAGTAAAACTTCTTAAGTCTTGGAAAATGTAATAGATAGTGTGGACCGCTGTATCGAGGCACTCCAGTCAATATTTTGTTTTGTGACCTTTGGACGCCAGTACAGCTTCAATTCTGCGAGTCGTACTTAAAATTAGTTTATCGATATCCTCGATAGGAAAATTATCAAAGGCTCTCAAAACCCGAGCGGTGAACTGTTCAAATGACTCCTTTGTAATATTCTGTGTTACAGCTTCTTCATCCAAGTGACATTTGATTTGGTTGAATAAATTTTCTATGCAATGGATATCTGCGCAGCGAGGAGGAAGTTTAAGTAACTCCGCCTCAATTTCCTCTAGGGCCTCCTTCGCACGCTTGCTTGTCTGGCTAGGGTCGTTATCCATGACAAAGAGTCGTCTTGCGTTTCTTTTCGGCCCTGCCCGACCAAACGCTATATTGAAATGGCTCCTAATAAACTGAGCGAAGAAACTTCCGTGCATTTTTTCGTAGGGTACTGTTAGTATTACCCCTTTTCCGTAAGCAATGGCTACGAGCACGTGCAAACGTCTACCACCAGGCAGGTCCTTGGAACCTTTTGATGTAAACTTTAGGCCTTCTCCTTCTGTCGCCATATCCGTGATTTATTTACATTTGCACCGCTCTGCGGATTGTATTTGTGGACAAAGGACACGGCATCTAAGTAAAAGGCCACTTCATTTGCCCAAAACTGGGGATTTTCCGCGGCTACACGTTTCATTTTGCGAGCGAATCGTACACGCAACTTGCGGTCGTTTTCACTAAGAAGGCCCTTTTTCCTCGCTTGCAAATATGAGTAACCACTTTCATTTAAATAACGAGAAAATGTTCTCCTACTTGCCATTTCAAAATTAAGCCCACTTTGCTCCACTATGCTTTTAACTGTAATGTTTCTACAGTTTCTTGCCCTTAACTCCTTTAGCGCGCGGACAAGTTTTCGCACACTACGTTGACTTACTTTCCGTGGTCTCCCGCCTTTGTTACTTGACTTTGATGCGTCCTTATTTGGCGGAGGATTGTCGCTGCAAATCCTAGCAGCAGAAGACTTGGAAATCCCACACTCTCTTGCTATTTCACGGTACGATGCCTTCCTGTACTTTCGTAAAAACAACGCTAAAGCTGTTTGCACACTTGTTATTTTCTGGTCGCAAACCATCCCGAATTAAGCTATGAAGCAACTTCTGATGACTGTTTAAAAAGTACATGACTTCTTATACAGAAAAGGTTAAGATGCAGGCATTCCCAGTCACGAATTTTGTACAGTTTTGACGTGTAAGGAAACTCCCGACGCATGAAAATGAGTACGTCACAGATTCGTGATAAGCATTCGAGACTGTTCTTCTATGCGCCTCAGGTCACGAAATAAATAACAATTACTTAGTAATACCTGGCAACTTTTTATTTGAACTTACTATACTTACGAATCCACAACTTTTATCTACGTTTCTTAACGTTTAAAAGACTTTTTCCTATAGAAGGGGTTTTCAGACAACCCTGGCCAAAACTCTTGGGACATTAACCAAACAGCTGGTGAAAATGACGCATTTTCTCTCCCCCCCGTCCCCCCCGGTTCAGTGTTGACGTTACGGCTTCAAATCTTTTTCAACACAATCAACATTGCTGAGGGGAAGGGGGGACAGCAGAAACAGGCTCTTTCAACAACATTTCCAAGCATTTATAACAGGTTAAATACACTTTTAATAAGCAAGGTGTGTTTTCGCGCCTCATTTTCTTAAGTGTCCCAAGACGTTTTGACCAGGGTTGTAGCTTTTCGAATAGTTTTAGGCCTGACTGTCTTTCCTTTCCACATAATTATTCCGAAAATTTCACTTATGACCAATTCGCACTGACCTCTCCAACGCTTTGAGCTCTTAAACTTTTTAGCTCACCCCAACAACGCATAATTTATTGCAATTGGGTAGAGTGATCAATCCAAAAATTTGTAGGCCCCGATCTACAGGTGTATGGGCTGGCTATGCCCCTGCAAAATATTTTATAATTAGTATTCCTATGCAAACAAGTTGACATTGGAATGTCTTTAAAGTGTTTGATAGCTCAAAATTAATAGCGTACACAACTTGAAAAAAATGTCACCAGTTTAAAATTTGCTGACGAATGTTATTAAACTGTACAAAACACATTACAACTTTCATTGTGAAGGCATGTTCTAATCTTCATCATTGTCACCAAAATTCTTAGTACCCTCTTCATTTCCACCATAATCATCATTGTGATCATCATCATCGGCAGCATTAACAACATCATCGTTCCCATTATCATCATCATCATCTTCAACATCAACAACACTTAGCTTTTCTAAATTATGAATAGCACAATCTACATGTTCAAGAGCATCCCCTCTGAAGATTAAGTCAGTAAGTTTCCTCAGTTGCCAAAGTGATTTGAGACAGAGTTTGGGCCTTAAAAAGTAGAGTGCTTGTACCGTTATATCCTCTTCTTTGGTTATTTCTATTTCACAAAAATCTGTGACCCTTTATTTTAAACATTGACCTCTCCACCATTATTTTCATCAGTATTGCCTATATTTTACTTTCCTCTGCAAGACTGGTTGGAGGGGGGGTTGTCAAAAAATTCTGTATGATAAGGGGGGGATCTTAAAAAATTCTGCCCTTTTAAAAAATATCCTCTGTGCCCCCCCCCCCCCCTGCCCCCTGCAGTTATAATGAATGCTGCCTTATGTTGTTGACCTTTGTATCAGTTGTACTCTGGAAGATACATGTAACGTAAAATTTTTCAAATTGGTATAAATACAAGTACCCTTTGCCTGTCACGCAGAATCCACCTTTTGGTAGAAGCACTCATTATTAAAATTTACAGGTACCTTTAAATTTAAATCTTCATGTGAAATGAATTCTCTTTCTTGTCCATCAGAAAGCAATAACAAGCATGGTAGACTGAGAGAGGGTTACATGGGTGCACAGTGTTGGACACTAGATGGGAACACATCAACCAGCGGAATGTACATAACATACACCTACATGTCGTACAAGGCAACTGGATAATGGAGAGGAGTCAGACTCGAGGGGAAACAAGACAGCTGGCTGGGCAATGGAGAGGGCAAAAAAGAGCTGGCTGGATGACATCACCTAGTACAAGGTCAACCTTGTTTAGAAGAGAATGGAGAGGATGGATTTAAGAGGGCAAGTGACATGAGACATCATGCATGTGTACCAGGTCAAGAGTTGGGCTGTGCATTATGGACAGTCTTTGCAGCATCTGGTTTGTATTGCATGATATTTTAATTGACTTAGAAATGGTGTAATTATTATTTTAAAACATCTTAGATATTATCTCACTATCTAAATAATAAAAATAATAATAACATGAAGAAAACCTGATGATAAAAAGTAAGTCAAAAGTTTTGGCCCTGCCCGGGAGGCCTGAATGCGGGTTACGGCTGGCCTGGAGTTTTCCTCCTAGGAGCAAGTGAACGTACGGGGAGGTTTTTCACCCAGCTGTTGTTCCACAACCCCGATTCACACAACTTTTTCTTAGACATGAGAATAGAACATCACATAAAATACACAACAATCATTTAATACCCAGTTGTTGTATGACTGAAAGAACTTCCTTATAATAGCTGTGTTGTTTTTTGGAAAACAAATCGCAACCTTCAGAAATTACTTTTAGGTATTGTAAGGGTTCCAGAAAATAGTCGATTTGCGGAAATTAAATATTTACTTTTTATCAGGGAAAATTAATTTTCACCGGTCTCTTAATAAGGACAGGTGGAGTCAGTTCGAAAATCTTTTACATTTTATATGCATCTAGACACTTTTTCAGTCATGTGACAAACTGAAATTAATTCATTACTATTATTATCTTCAAGTTAAATTCCACATTTTTAGTACATTGTAGTAATAATTCCAGTGTGTGTGCCACCATTGCACAAACAGAGGCCATTGGGAAGTGTTATTTATCAGCATTACATTTACTTGTAGGGTTTGTTTTATTGGATGAATCAATTATTCTGTCAAGGAATGTTAAGTTGTGGTCTTCTGTTTAAAAATTGCTCCCTGGCACTTGTTTGTTCAACCAGTTAGTTAAAAGTTAACATTTTCACTGCAGGATTCCATTAAGCAGTGGTTTTGTTTGTCAAAGAAACCAGCCAACATTTCGAGATGCCATGAAACATCATCTGAGGAAGGAGTGCAGAAATTCTATACTGATGACATATCACTTACTCAGATTTGGGAAGTACTTCTCTTTGTCTGAGGCAAATTTACCTCACGACTCAACCAATCAGATATGCGACCTAGGTGGTAGGTCATTAGTATGAAATTTCTATGTTTGTTCCACAGACATTAATTTATGGGTAACTCAGTCATAGCATCACACCAGTCATCGCTTTCTACAGTGGGAGTCAAACAATGTTAAGTTTACAGAAGGTCACATTTGAAGCACAGGTT